CACTGGTACCGAGGGAAGAAGAGCGTCCGCTCTGTCAGCCTGTTGCTGTCCCCTGCCGTGACGCGCATTTTCAGGTGCTCCCGCGGTTCCCGGTCCTCGTGGTGCACAGATCTGTGAGGGCTGCCGTGAGGCTTTGGCCTGATGATTGCTGCGTTCTTCCCAATGACAATAATTCACCTCCGAGGTTCTCAGGAAATACTCAGAGTTTGAGTCCGTGAGAACAGGCAAGACTCTCACGACAGCCTCCCCAGGGAGCCTCATTTTGCGAGCTTCCCTGTGGGCCAGGGAGTTGAGGAAGTCATCTCTGCATCCTTGGGAATACGGTGTTTTAAAATGTACATGCCAGGAAAGATGACGTATTTGGAAGTAAGGTTATGATAGATTTGTTTTATTATTTTCTTATGCTTTCCATTAACTTGTGCCTCTGGCTGAAACCTCAGCCTGTCTCCCATCATGTGCATTTTTTTCATTTCTGAATTTCCATTTTACCTTCAGTCTCATTCATGTACTTTAATAGTAAATTGTCTCGTTTTTCCACGAGCATATTTCATCTCCCTTAAGAGATTTTTGTATCTTACACAAAGCACACATAAATAGTGATATAATTCACGTTCCGTGAAATTCACCCCATGAAGTGTGCGGTGCAGTGGTTTTAGTAACTTCACGGGGTTATGTAACCAGCACCACAATTCCAGAACATTTCCATCACCCCAGATGGAAACCCCGTACTCTTGATCAGTCATTCCCGCCCCCCTGCCCCAGCCCCTAGCAACCACTAATGCGCTGTCTCTGTGCCCTTGAATGTTCGGGACGTGTCCGGTTTGTGTCTGGCTTCTGTCACTCAGTATAATGCTGTCAAGGTTCATCCGTGTCGCCGCGCGTCTCCACACTGCAGTCCTTTCTGTGACTAGATACTATTTCGTTCTCATGGGGTGGATTTCCAAGATCTGTTTCTGGACTGCTTGTTTCTCATGGCCCCCGACTAAAGTTGGGGCAGCGTTGGGGCCCCAGAAAAGCACGACGGAGGGCATGCTTGTTGTACACGTCACAGCAGGGCCCTGGGAAGCGGTGGCGCCTTGTGTTCATCTTCCCAATTTCATCGTTGGCTCCTTAAAATACCAATTTTATTGTGCACATGGTACATAATCATTGTAGAAAATTTAAGCATGGCTGAGCTCCCAGAAAGTCACTTCATAATGTTCTCACCATGGCATCACTGCTGTTACTTGGTGAATATGGTTCCAGACTTCTTTCTGTGCGTGGGTTGCCCGCGGGTATATGGGTATATGTGTGTTCCATGTTCCCGTTTGTGGAAAAGGATGTGGTGAACAGTCTTGTAACAAAACAGTGCGAAACCGACACATTTTCGAAAATTTGTGCTTTTTCCTTCTACAGTGTTTTGGTATCGGATGCTGGAAACTTCTAAGATTTAACAGTTTTATTTTTTATCTTTAAAAATTCATGAATTGTAGACCCAGATTGTTCTCTGCAGGACTTCGTTGATAGAGTCAACTAAAATGTCTTTTTTAAAGTAAAATTTTCAACATGCTAATACAACTTTAAACAAAACAAAGCAAAACCAGCTTCACCTTGTTTTTATTTCATTTTTTAGGGAATTAAATTACATTTTTAAAGAATTTCTTTATCCTTTTAGAGCATAGCAGATTTGTGAACAGAAATAAAAGGAAGGTGGCCACGTGAAGAATGCGTGCACCTGCTTTTTCTCAGGTTAATAGGATGATGAGTTTAGCTGGCCCTCTCTTTTGATCCTCTTTCTGATTTATTTTTTTGCTAGTCTTTCAAGTAAGAAGAGAATTGATACTTATTGAGAAAATTCCTGATTCACTTCCTCTATAAAATTTTAAATAGGTATAAATTATCACACTAAAGCCCGTAATTGTGGCCAGATTATAACTTAAAAGATTTTAAATTATAAGTGATATATTAGTGTAAGTGATATTGAACTTGGGGACATACTTATGTGTATACATTTAAAAGTGGTTGAAATGGGTTTAAAAGTTTATCTCAAAGTTAGGATGCCTTTACGTTGTTTTACTCATAATGTTCTAGGAGGGAGAAGAGGCAGTTACAAATATCATGGCCGGCAGTGGCAGTGGGGACCGGGGGTGTTTCTTGTCCACCCGGCTGTGGCGTGGGTGGGGGAGGCCCCTCCGCGGTCACTTAGTGTGAAGTGTCCCCCTTCTGGCCATGTTGTTGCCACTGTGCGGTGGTGGCCAGCGAAGAAATCCATCACACTTGACAAATTCTCTTTGTCGTGTAAGAAGTAGAATAATCACTCGGAGAAAGGACGCAGGTGAGGGTGGGCTGTGGCGCGTTGGCCGAGGGCAGAGGCTTTGTGGGCTGTCCCGGCGGAGCTCCCCACTGGGCTGTGGACACTGGTCTGGAGAACGGTCATGGTCAGTATTGCCCCACCAGTCCCCTCTCTGCTGGCCGGTCCCATCCATTCACTCTGCCCGTTAGGACTCATGCTGGAATGAAAGTAGACACCCCTTGTGCCCAGCCTTCCGTCTGGGGCCCCGCTGCCTCTGCGCGGTGTTAGGGCCCACCGCCGTGGTCGGCTCTGCCGTGCTGGGTCTGTGCCCTCCCTCGGGGTCTGGTCTGGGCCGTCCGTGCTTCAGGGCAGCCGGCAGCCTCCGAGTGCCATGTGTGGGGCCGAGGGTCAGTTCTCTGGCCACTTTTTGGAGACCCTAAGTTCACTGGACTTTGTTGAGACAGTCTGTCCACTTGGTCTCTGGGGCCCTGCACTCCTTCGGGTGAGTTTCTCTTTTCTTGTGGATGGCCTCTCTCAGTCCTTTGCTGGGTCCTCCTCGTCCGGGACGTTGACATCGTGCGGCCGGCTCCAGCCCAGCCCTCGCCCTGTCCTGTCTGCCGTCCCTAGCTGATCTCGCCCAGCCTTGGGCTCCAAGGCCTCTGTTTGCTTCTGTCGTACTTTCGAGTCCATTCCGGTGTCTGGTAGGTGGCTCCAAGTTGCCCCGGAGGCTCCCCCGGCCGGCCCCCTCCTCACCTCCGTGCGACGCTCAGCCCGGTGCCGAGGCAGCAGGTCCAGGCTCACGCCAGTCGCTCTCTGCCTTCACGTCCACCCGCTGTCCATCAAGCACGTCTCTGGCTCTGCTTTCATAATAATCCACATCTAGCCGTTTGACCACGTCTGCCGTCACCTGCAGCCTGGGCCCCCTCCAGCTCGGGTGCTGCGTTTCCTCTCAGCTGGGCGTGCACGGCCATCCCCTGGATCTGCTCCCATGGCAGCCACAGTGTTTCAGATGACATCACTTCATGCCCCAAGGACCTCTTTAAAAAAAAATTGAAATATGACTCCCGTACCACCACTCTGAAGTGTGCACTCCGTGGGTTTCGACTTCGCACGGTTGTACCACGCTCACACTTAATTCTGGCGCGTCTGTCGCCCCAGGCGAAGCGCCGGAGCTGTTAGCAGTCATTCCCCTGCCCCCCAATCACCAATGTCTCTGTCTCTTGACGATTTGCCTCCAGTGGGCTCTTCAGTTAAAGTCCAGATCCCTTGCTCTGGCTTCTGGACAGTGGTTCCCAGACCAGCGGCGTCCACGTCACGTGGGAGCTTGTTAGAAATGCAGCATCTCGGCCCCCTTCCGGGTCCACTCGGTCAGAAACTGAGGGTGGAGCCCAGCCATCCGTGGTTAACAACCCTCTGTCCATGCCCCAGTTTGAGCACCAGGGGCTCATGACTCCCCTCGAATCCTTTCCCCTTGCTGCCTCTCTGCGGACCCTGCTCTCCCCCAGACGTGACAAACCAGATCCCTCCTCAAGGCCCTTATGTGTGCTGTCTCCTTAGCTCGGCTCGTGCTTTATTCTGCTTAGCTGGCTGCCCTGGAGCCCTCCGGAACCTCACTGGTGTGGACGTCCCTGCCTTCGCATGCAGATGGGAGGACTGATGTCCCGAGCACCTCTAGCTGCCCCTGTAGATGCACTCTGCACCCTTCTCCTCCCTGCCCTGGGCTCCCAGCCGCGGGCTTGTGCACGCCGCACCCGCGTCCCTCTCCACGCAGCCCCCTCTGTTTTGAACTTTGTGCTGTGTGCTGTATTAGCTGTTTATTACCAGTAATTTCCACAGTAGGACTGAGTTTGTAGAGCAGGCGGCCTGTACGTACTGAGTGGAGGGAAGAAGCAGCAGGATGGCGGGCTGGGGTGAGCACAAGAACCGGGAGGACTCTGCTCTCGTTTCCATCGGAGTGTCCGGCGGTGCTGTGTGCCACGTGCTCTCCACACTTCTCGACACACAGAGGGAGACTTGCCGTGAAAGTAAGTACGAGGGGAGTCTGTGCGGTGCAGGACCAGCTATGGGACTCATTCACCCATGAACAAGGACTTACTGCATGCGTGCTGCGTGCCAGGCCGCGCAGTCCACAGTGCTGAAGAGACAGCCCCCTGGCCTGTGTGGAGCGTATGTTCTAGAAGGGACCACGGAGGATAAGACCAGGTTAACTAAGTGTAAGTGTGGTGTGTGAGGGACCGTGCCAAGGAGAGCACAGAGCGGGAAAGTGCGTGCGCGTGCACACATGGTGTTGGGATTTGGGCAAGGGCGGCCAGGGACAGCCTTGCTGGGATGGCGGCACTTGAGGGCAGACCTGCAGGGCCCAGGGGAGCAGTCAGGCTGGCTGCAGGCGGAGCAGGGTGGCCTGTGCGCATCGCAGAGACGGAGCCGATTAGGAGAGGAGACCCGGAAAGGGAGTGGGGGCAGGTGTTGGCGTGGGCAGGTCACGAGTCCGCTAATCCAGACCAGCTCCCCCTCCCTCCCCGGCTCCCCCGCACCTGACACAGCGCAGAGCAGTCCCGCCTGTCCTCCTGAATTCCCTCTGTGTCTCCTGAGCTGTGCAGCTCACACGTAGCACTGCCCCCCCCCCCCATTTTGTCACGAGATCCTGTCTTCTACGGAATCCAGCCTTTCTTACTGCCTTTGTTCCGGCCCTCGCTCCGTGCCAGCTGCTGGCTGCAGCGTGCGCGTTGTTGTGGAAAGGTCGGCTTTGACCCTGACGCCTGAAGTCGGTGGCAGTTCTCGGGGCGGAAGACTCTTACTTTGAAGACGGGGACTGAGGCTCAGAGAGGTGACGTGCTGTCCCTAAGGCGGTCTGGCTAATTATTAACAGGTCTGGGGGCAGAGCCCAGACCTCCTGCCCGGGACTCAGAGCAATGTCACACCGCCCGCCTGCAGGCCTGACGACCACATTAGGACGGTCCCATCTCCCCGTCAGTCAGCACTGCGCGCATCCTCACACACAGAAGGTAGAAATGCACCTGCCGCCATTCACGCGATGCTGTGCGTTTTGGGGGAAAGGTAATCTTAAACAGAACACATCTCTCTTCATTCTTATTTGTCATTGTACTTGTAAGTAAACGAAGCTGTTGTTTTCCAGAAAGTAAGAGAACAGATCTCTATTAGAGTTTGGGTTACCGTGGTTACAGAGAGCATTTCCTAATATTTTCCTGCTGTAAGGAACAGCCTGGAGAGTAGAGAATGGGTCAGAAGAGCAGAATTGACCCTGTTGTTTTAGTAGCCAAGTCTTTTGCTTCCGTGGGTCTTCTTCATTTGTACAGAGAGTAATGCTGGCCCTGCTTGTCTGGGGTTGGTGTGAGTTTCTGAGCTGTGTGTGCGGAAGCTCTCTGGAGGGGGCCGGGGGCCGGGGGGTGCTGGGACCCTTGTGTGCGGCACAGACACTGGCTTTGAAGCGTTGAACTTCAGACAGTGTTGGGGTGCGTGGGGAGCATGGAGGACCACTGGAATACCAGAGTGTAAATTGTTGAGGTCCGTCATGAAATGGGCCCTAGGATCTGCCAGAGCCGCAGCAGGGTGCAAGTCTGTGAGCTTAGTGAATCTTTGTTATTTTTTCCAAGTGATTTTTGTCGAAGCTTTATGATTTCTGTGTGGTTTTAAAGTGCAGCCTTCCTGTCTGGTTGAGGCCTGGAACGATGTGTCTTTATTAATATGGTTTGTTGGGAGGGAAGGACCAGATAGAATTAGCTTGAAAGCTGCTCAGCTCGTCCTGGGAAGCTGTACGGTTTTTTCCATGTTTATTTACTGTTTCACCGGTATCCACTGTGTTAATTTTTCTGGGTTCCCCACTCCGTGTTCTTATGGTCTGGGCGACTCTCCACATTGCACATGTTCCTGCGGGTTGGGAGCTTTGATGTAAGAAGGGAGGACGCGGTGACCTTAAGAAAACACGGTGGGGGGTGAAGGAGGAGCTGCAGGGTGCCTGATACTGAGCCTGCTCACCTTGGGGGTTGTTCTCCCCTGCCGGCCCCTCCTCTCACTGATCGCACCCCTGCGGCACCCAGCCCGACCACTTAGCGGGCGTCCATCACTGTCCCTAACCAGGCGCTGCCTTTTTGCAGAGAAGAGCCTAGTGTAGCTCTGTGGGGGTGGGCAAGGAAGTCTGAGCTAGAGGGGGGGCCCGTGTCGTCCCGAGCGCAGTGCAGGTCCTGCTCATTCTGCCCTTTTGTGGCCTTAAAGCCCCAACTTTTCCCAGTGTCGGCGGCCTGTTAATCATTGTTACAGAATGTGTGCTGGTCTAGAGTGGACCTGCCAAAGCCTTGGCGTTCTCCTTTCCTGAGAAGAATTACTCTCGCAGGATGAGTGCTCCCGGTGGGATTTCTGTCAGACTGTGTGTGTTTTATCCTGATACACGTGGGCCCGCTGAGTTGAGCAAACACACGGGGTTCCCTGCCTCCGTTGCCGTCCGCCGTGTATTTGCTGTCAGTTTCTCCAGCACTGGGAATTCACATTTTGGGGGGATAATTTAATTGGCATGAAAGCTTGCTCTCTTTACTCTCAGTGTTTTTAAGAGACAACGTCTATTTTAATAGGAGAGAGATGGCTAGTGAGCTGGAGAGTGAGGTCTTCTGTCCGGTTTATATTCTGTGTGAGGCCGGCTAAATTTTAGCATCACAGCCCGTTGCTTTGGTAACACCTTGTTGATAAAGACTTAGGCTGTAATGTAGGTATTTAATTTGATTAAAACATTTTAGCCTGAAAAGTATGATGTTTTGGGGCGCCTGGGTGGCTCAGTCATTAAGCGTCTGCCTTCGGCTCAGTCATGATCCCGGAGTCCTGGGATCGAGCCCCGCATCGGGCTCCCTGCTCAGCGGGAAGCCTGCTTCTCCCTCCCCCACTCCCCCTGCTTGTGTTCCTGCTCTCGCTTTGTCTCTGTCAAATAAATAGATAAATCTTTAAAAAAAAAAATACATTGTTTTGAATAGGTGGTCTATGCGCCTGGTGTAAATATTAGAGTTCCCTCCAAGTTGTGTCTCCTGGTTCCCACCCACCCTCAGAGCAGCATGTTCTTAGGTCTCCCGCCGAAGAGGCCATGTAGACAGAAGGGTGTGTGCAGATATCCCCGAATCTCCCTCACAAGATTGGTAGGAGGCTGTTTCTAGGGTGGGGCTGGCACCTACGAGGAACTGTGTAAGTATTTAACAAGTACAGTGTCTGGGAAAGACTTCGTTTGGCCCTCTGTGTGAACTGGTTTGCCCAAAGCCCGAGGACCCCGGGGGCTCTGCAGGCACCGCTGGCTGAGGGGCCGGGCCGCCGCCCTGCTCCTCGGCTGGGGCTCTGGGAAGGGAATGCGAGGTGACTGGAAAGTGAAAGCGCAGTGTGGACGCTGACAGCCGCGGTCTCTGTCTCTGTTGCAGATGTTTCTCACTGTGTACCTCAGTGACAACGAGCAGCACTTCACCGAGGTCCCCGTGACCCCCGAGACGATGTGCAGAGACGTGGTGGATCTGTGCAAAGAGCCCGGCGAGAGCGAGTGCCATCTGGCCGAAGTGTGGTGTGGCTCTGGTACGAGACCCGGCTCGGGAGGCTGTGTAGACGTGGCCGCGGGCGGTGCGCCTGTGGTCCGCGGAGAAACCAGGGACTTGCCCGAGCCTCAGGGTGCGGCGTTCTCTCTCCAGCTTCGCTGTGACGTAGGGCGCCTTCCCGCTCTCGTCCTTCCCTTCTCGGCAGTACAGCGAGGACGCTGCCTTGTGAAAGGGCAGGTGGCCCAGCGGGGCAAGCTTCTGGGCCCGACCCGGAACGTGCTCCGGGAGCATTTCCTGTGCGCTTGCACCCCACTGAATTAGAAACATGAGGTGTCCTGATTGCCTTGCCCTCTCCAAGGTTTTGTAGATTTTTAGGGAAAGCTACTCAGTGTTGAGTTACCATGGTGGCAAAAGGCAGTGGTGAAATCATAGGCATTATTTTAAGCTTTGAAATCAGTCCTTCACTCTAGTTCTTTGGAGCTCTAAAATGGGACAGCCTGGTCTTTTTCTGGCCCCTGAGGAGTTTGTAGATGTGTGAGTAATTTTCCATAATTTCTGCCTTGTTCCTGCACAGCCGGAGTGACCTCCCCCTGTTTCCTTCCCTCTTCCGGGGGTGCCAGGCGTCCCAGCGTGGGTTACACATCGTGTAAACTGGGTCCTCACCATTCACAATCCCTGCCTGCAGCCGAGCTCCCTCCCTACCAGGCCGAGACGTCTTCGTCCATCTTTGGCCAACTTTCTTACTGTTGGGTGTCCTGGATGGTCTTGTGCTCTCTCCCTGGATCGCTTACTTCTTTTCCCTTCACAAAGGAACTGGATTAGACCATTCACATAAGGAAACCCAAATGATCCTTTTCAAGTGAAAATGTGATAGTCTGACTTTCCACTCCTCCGTGGCTTTCTCGTCTCCCGAGGATAAAATCCAGATTTCTGATGTTGTGTTGTGAAGTCTCTGTTGTTGTCAGGCACCATTCTCCTTGTCCTGCAGCTTCCCTGCTGTTCCTGAGTGAACTCCTTCGCACCGTAGGGCCGTTGGCGCGAGCTCTCCCCACTGCCTGCATTGCTGTCTAGGTGTTGCCCCCTGGACTTGAGCCGGAACGTTCCGTCCTCCAGGAGAGACTCTGCTGGAGCGTGCTTCTACAGTGGCCGTGAAGCCACCCTGATTTAATCCTCTGGGTTTTGTGTGTCTCTTAGTTTATTGCCTCCAGAATCCCTGTAGCCCAAACACCTGCCCTGGGACGTAAATTCCCTAGGAGGAGAGGCTTGTGTATGTCGTGCGTCGGCGTGTCCAGCTCAGGGAGAGGGCCTGGCGTCTGGTGCTGCTCTGCGAGTCCGTCCTGAGGGACTCAGTGCACGGCCGGATGCTCTGGCCACCGCCTTCATTCGGCAGGTCTCCTTGCTTCACACTTTACGGAGGGGATCCACAGCACCCGTCGGGAGTGAGGAGGAGGCTCGGAGTCTCCTGGGAGCTCCTGCTTCTACCTGTTCTTTCTCCTTTCAGTGTCTTGCTCACTTGAGGCCAGTAACCTTTACTCTGTGATGATGTTGAGAAGATTTTCTTTCTTCTCACTTTTTTAGTTAAAAAAAAAAAAATGACCATACCTGAATGTGTTCTTTTTTGTAGAAGAGCAACTGATGTGGACAGAATGGAAGCCTTTCCCTGTGCCCGTCCCTGATCGCTCAGTGTAGCCGCTCAGCATAGCAGAGAAACTCTCAGACTCTTTTCTCTGCGTTTACAGTTGTAGGAATAGTTTTGTGTGTTGTTTCTCTTTCTGTTTTTTCTTTTTGTAAATAGTATCATACATATCAGCATCCTGCAATTTGCCGTTTAACCTTATAGTCCAGCTTAGAGGTGTTTTTCAGATTAGTATGTGTAATTCTATATCATTATTTTTTATTTTTTAGATTTTTTTGAGAGAGAGAGCATGCAGGCAGGGGAGGGGTGAAGGGAGAGAGAATCTTAAGCAGACTCCACACTGAGCGCAGAGCCTGACGTGGGGCTCGATCCCACGACCCTGAGATCATGACCTGAGCTAAAACCAAGAGTCAGACACTGAACTGACTGAGCCACCCGGGCACCCCTCCACTCTTGCTTTTATAAATGCTGCAGTGAAAGTCCTTTTAGGAGCCTCTTGATCCATGCAACTGTTTCTCTGGAGTAGACACCATGAAGTGCAATTTAATTAAAGGTTCACACACTTTAAAATTTGATGTGTGGTTCCAGATTGCCCTCCACAAAGGCTGTCTGCTCAAACCCCTACCTGTTATTTCTGAAAGAACCTTTTGTCAACAATTGATAGGATAATATTTGAATTTTTGCTGAGCTGATAGCGGAGGTTGCCCATTGTTTCATTTTCTTTTTTTTTTTTTTAAGATTTTATTTATTTATTTGAGAGAGAGAATGAGAGAGAGAGAAATCATGAGGGGGGGGGGGGGTCAGAGGGAGAAGCAGACTCCCTGCCGAGCAGGGAGCCCGATGCGGGACTCGATCCTGGGACTCCAGGATCATGACCTGAGCCGAAGGCAGTAGCTTAACCAACTGAGCCACCCAGGCGCCCCCATTGTTTCATTTTCTCTTGGCCATTTGGATTTCCATTTTTATATACTTAATTTTTTTAAACTTTCTTTACATTTTCAGTAAGCTTCACACCCAAAGTGGGCCTGGAGCTCCCGGCCCCGAGCTCAAGTCTCACGCTCCTCTGACTGAGCCAGCCAGGCGCCCCTGGGTTTCCATTTTTAAAATACTGTTTCTCCGTAGGCTTTGTTCATGTTTCCCTTGGCTTTTGCCTCTTGACTTGTAGGCATTCAAAAGCAGAAACAACTATCCTGGATCCCAGGCCTGTTGTGTGATTTAAAAGGATCCTTTCCTTACTGCAGGGCTGTAAACCTACTCTCCTGTTATGTAATGCTGTAAGTTCGAAATAATTTTCCTTCCCTCCCCCATTAAGTTTTGTGACTCGTGTGAGTTACGGAGCGAACTGCTTGTTTCCCGAACGGGCAGTGAATTGTCTGAAGTGCCTTATCGAACGGCGGTTTCTTGCTTACTGACGTGAAACATCCTGCATGCCACGTTAGATCGCATACAGGGTTAGGTTTCTGTGAGCTTTTGTCCATTACTTTTGTCTTCTTGTTTATGACAGAACCAAGGGGTTCTGATTACTATAGTTTGAAAATTTGGTAAGTGCAAGGCAAGTGCTTTTATTTCATTGTTCTGCTTTTCCAAAAAATATGTGAGCTGTTCTTCCATTTTTTTTTTTCTTTTTCAGATAAATTTTAGAAAGGCCTTGAAAGGTTCTGTGAAAAGTCCTGTTGGGACTTTGGTTGTAGTGAATTCCTAATCCGTTTGCGGGTTGTTGCTATTATGCTGTGATTAGGAGCAAGGTCTTGGGTCTCAGAATCCTGTCTCTGTCATTTAGTAGCTTTATAACCGAAACTGTCCGCAAGCCTCCCACGTAACCTACGGGCAAGATGGCTGCGGGTGGACAGGCACTGTTTGTAGGGCACCTGCAGGACCTGCAGGGCGTGTGTGCGTGTGCATGGGTGCGTGTGTGTGTGCACGGGCGTGTGTGAGCGTGCACATCTGGAGCCTGGCTCCACCTCCTCTGTGCTCCCGGAACGTGCAGGGGAAGGTGTGTGCGTGCACGGGCGTGTGTAAGCGTGCACGGCGTGTGTGAGCGTGCACATCTGGAGCCTGGCTCCACCTCCTCTGTGCTCCCGGAATGTGCAGGGGAAGGTGTGTGCGTGCACAGGCATATGTGAGCGTGCACGGGCGCGTGTGAGCGTGCACGGGCATGTGTGAGTGTGCACGGGCATGCGTTTGGTCAGGAGGTGGGAGGTCTACTCAGAAGTTCTGTTAGGGGGGCGCCTGGGTGGCTCAGTCGGTTAAGTGACTGCCTTCGGCTCAGGTCATGATCCTGGAGTCCCTGGATCGAGTCCCGCATCGGGC